AACAGATTGAAAAGAAATGAGTCAGAGACGATGAAACATGTGGGCTAGTGGGAATCAGGAGGATGAGCATGATGAGAAGTAAACTGCGAGAGATCCATTGTTTATGTGGGAATAGTTAAACCCTTGTTTACCTTGTTTACGGCGAGTATTCAGAACATAGCGTATTTCCAGGGGGTTTTGCCTTCGTTCGCCGAATCTTCAGCTCTTGTGGTCGCGACTCAACCCTATTCGAAATATATATTAATGAAACCTCTCACCTATACCACCACCTTTATACCCGCTTAAGAATTTCAATTCATAATTTCTAACACCTTGCAGCTTACCTCCCACGATGCTTACTTTCCTGTTTTCTTCCTAACAGTCGATTCTGTTTCACCAACTGCAGCACATTTGCTTCCAGTCTGCTTTCCTCTGTAACTTCTCCCTTCATTGAATTCCTTTCGAAATTTGTGGGTAAGCTCTTTCCTAGTAGCGACTTGATAATCAGTGAAAAGCCAATCCTCGCTGGAAAGCCAATGTAGCTTACTTTTTCAATTCTCAACATAAAATCAAAGATGTTCTGTTGGAGTACAGCTGCACGATAGCAAGACGAACGTTCCTACTATCAATGACTACAGAACCAAACGTTAACTCGTCCGAAGCCGGTTTCACTACAGGCATGTATACCTGTGTATTATTTTCATGTCCAGAAAACAACAAAAAGGTGTCTCTGACAGTAGTATTCTCAAGAACCAAGCATGTGTGAAGGTCTACCGCGAAACTGATTTGCTAGAGACTTTACTGCTGAGGGCGAGAAATTTTTCAAACAACATCTTCTCGTCACCTACATTTCTGAGCGGCTTCTTATGGAAATCTTATGTCCGTTCGATTTAGCAGGAAGTCACCGTAGAATTTTTCAAGATTATCAAGACTGGTGAACTGGTTGGAGGCATTTGGTCCCCTCAATGATAATTTCAATAGAATGACGGTTTGTTAGGGAAAAAGCTGATGTGAACTATCGATTTCAACAAATGATAATTATAGCACCTTAGTAAACACCTCTATCTGACCGCGTAAAAGACAAGGCCCGCTTCCAGCTCCGTTTTGAGTGCTTATCATAACACAACTACTGTTTTATACTGGTACTGATTGTAAAAGTTCAAAATAGAAACGCCAAACGAAATTCCTTTGGTTGTGTAATAGCGGTAGTTTGGTTACGATAGGAGCTCGATAAGCGATCCGCTACTATGATTCTGAATGACATCAGTATGCAGGGCGCATTCTAAGATTTAGTCATGCCCAGAAAGCTCTAAGGCTTCATCTGTTGATAAACAATCTCTACTGGTACCGACTTAAGATGTATTTGGTTTCATTCATTCCGTGAGTTGTTCCCGGGTTGAAGATCACCTCAGATGCCTCGTCACTTTGTATCAAGGAGATCGGATTTCATTCAGAGGAACTGGGAACAAAGGCACATTTTAAATGAGACCGCTCTCATGATGATTCGTGAATATGCAACCCAACGACGCTGACTCGCACGCCAGCTTTCAATGTCCTTAACCCCACGATTCATTCGGATGTTCTCGAACCTTCTATTCCTCAGTAGCCTTGCCCAATGTAAGTCCAAACCATTTTTAATCTATCAATGGGTCTTCAAAATAGTTAGAATTTCGTAGAATCTACCAAAATTTGTTGTTTACGAAATAAACGGCTCGGGGCTTATTTTGAAGAAATAAATTCTAAGCATAAATAAGCGCAAATGAATAAAAAAGACATAAAACACAAGGGTTCCGCCATTATTGTTGGAAATCTATGCAGACAAGTTTTTCCATCCCTTCCTAGAAAGAGGTGTTATTCCTAGCAATGCCCAGTCGGAGCGCTAAGAATAAATGTTGAGCAGAAGCCATCATTAACCGAAGTAATTAAAGAAAGTTATTTTGACATGAGGTGTTTACATAGTAGATGGAATATAAAAGATAAAAAAGATAAAGGATAAAGTCTATGTGGCAATGACCCATCTGAGAAATGCGCCCCGCGTTCGACTCCCATTCAGAATCGTAGTGGGGTAATGAGTGCGTATGTGGCCTATACAATGACTTGCGGTGGTCAGCCGATGTACAAATCGGTGCTTTTATCCTCCCAGACGAGTCCGGTACAAATTA